GGGAAAGATGGACGCTGACTGCAGCAGCCCAATACCTCCCTGCACTGCGAACAGAGCGGTTGGAGCCGGGGTCATTGCAGCCGCACGGACAGGCGTGGGCGTGAGCATGGGAAAAGACAGGGTACGGCACGAATGATCAGCCCATACACTCCCTGTGGTCTTTCCGATGGGGACGTGCACACGTAGATCAAGACTCTTAGACTCAGAACAGGGCGTCAGCCACCGGCCATTGACCACTGCTTGGTTGTTTGTTTTTATCTTGGCGGGACACGCGAAGACAAGACAAACAGTCCTGGAGCGGCAATGTGGCCGCTATGACCTCTTTCCAGTATATGTACGTAATAAGTGACATCTCGGCTCCGACAAACCGGGTCCTCTTTTCAATCCTAGAGTCCCGATGAGTCGAGGGGATAGGAGAGACAGGTGCAGTATGTAGGTAGGCAGTTGAGTGCTTAGACACCAGACAGGGGCACAAGAAATTGCAGCCATGCAGCAATACAACCACCATATTGCAATTGAGTTTTTGGGGGAAGGTTTGACTCAACAATATATCCAGGGAGTTTCTTCCATACCAGCCTGGCAGCCTGCAACGAATTGAGTTCCCTCCGTTCTTCCTGGCCAGTTGTATTCAAGCCCAGGGTTCCGTGAGAGCCGTACCCATGACTTCCCGTAGATAATCACAGCCAACCACCAGAACATCTCGTAGCGCATCTATCCCCAGCTCATGAATTGATCACATGAGTTTCCAGATTCCCGTTCTCGCGCCTTATCCGTTGACTCCTCAATTGCTCAGTTCGTCCGGCTATCCCCTTCCTCCCCTCCGACACGCGACACGCGCACTGCCAACTTCCGATCCAGTGCATCCTGCTCTTCCTTCGAGGCCTGCATGCCCAATGCGCTTTCTACCTGGGGTGTGGTCCATAATCCGATGCCTGCCCAGGCCATGACGCCGATACCGAACAGGGCCCGGGTTTTGGGGGTAAGGCCGCGGTAAGAGCTGTGCGAAGCTGATTAGTTTCTCCCTTTGTCTCGATCGTGGTGTCCGGGTGTGGTATGTGCGGGGTCGGTCGGTTCAAGTCTGTGTCACGTACCTCCAGAGAGACATTTGGACTGGTAACGAAAGTATTTTAGTCGTGAAGGGGAATAATCATAGGCATGACTTGACTTGGCTTTCAGCATGCTACTTTGACGGGGACAGTCACGTGAGAGATATCTACACTTTCGGGTCACGGGATTTGGTACCTGGGGCTAGCAAACTCTAAGTATCCTTCGATGTATACTAGTACGACGGGTTCGAATATGTGTCTTTTTATCTGCCGCTAAGTCCTGCCAGGTACATTGACACGCCGGGGTACTTGTGGATTGCTGGGGTGGTGGTGTAACTGTGGCTTTTAAATGAGGTACCGAGGTACTTCGGACAAAAGCACTGGCTACACAGGCACTTGTACTTTTGTATATGGTAGGTCTGCCAGATGTAGAGTAGATGGTTGGATAAAGGGGTCATTCAAGACATCGTTGGATTTAAATATGTGTTCCAGCTACCTCCAGGTGACATTCAGGTTGATATCCTTGGCTTTTAGTTGGCAGTCCATACCAAGAATTATTCTTGGAAAGATCAAATGATTTAGAGCGTGCCAGGAAAAAAAAAGTCAATGGCCAATCACAGAAGCCTCATGTAGAGTAAGATGGCGCTAATATGTAGATTATGTAGAAAACAGTCCGTCTTCATGTCGATCATTCATGTCCACGTTCATTACTATATCATCTACATCGCGGCAGGATTGTGAAAACAATGTCAATAAGAGTAAGAGGCGAAGAAATGTAAACATGGATTGAACAGAGTAGAAAGAACAGAGAGGGTCTCGAAGCGCAAGCAAATACAGCAGAGAAAATAAATAGAAATAAAAAAACAAGGGTGAAGCTAGGAAATCCAAGTGAAGAAGCTGGTCATACTTCATTTACTTCTTGCCGTACGCCTTGTTGATCTGGGACTCGTAGTGGGCGACAATCTTCTTGCGCTGGAGTTTCTGCGCAGCGGTCATGAAACCCTGGTGTCTTGTTAGCATATTTCGTGCTTTAGATAGTTTGAGAATCACTTACGTTTTGTGGGGTCCACTCATCGTCGGATAGCACGACGCCGCTGATAATCTCAATGCCCTTCAAGCCACCAGCGCGACCGGCAGACTGCAGCTGCTGCAAGACAATCTTGTTGAGCTTTTCATTGTGAACGAGGGACTCAAGGCTGTCACCATCAATGTTGTGCTCCTTTGCAATCTTCTTGAGTGCTGGCTCGGCAGGGACAATGATTGCAACAGGCTTGTCTTGGTCCTGGGCGGCGTAGACACAGATGTTACCAACCACAGGAGACGAGCGGTAGACAGACTCGAGCTTCTCGAGGGCGATGTATTCACCGTTCAGGGTCTTGACCAGGTTCTTCTTGCGGTCAATGATGTTGAGGTGGCCGTTGCGATCGAACTCGCCAATGTCACCGGTCATGAACCAGCCATCCTCAGTGATCGCAGCCTTGGTCTCCTCCTCATTGTCGTAGTAGCCCGAAGTGACACTACCACCGCGGATGAAAATCTCACCCTGAGGGGGGTTGTTCGAGGTCAGGTATCCAGCATCGGGGAAGTCAACAAGCTTGACCTCGATCGAAGCGGGAATCTCACCCAGGGCATCGGGGTTCCAGGCCAAGGGGTCGTTCAGGGCACCCATGGCGGAGGTCTCGGTCAGACCGTAGCCGCTAATCATGGGGGCGATAGCCAACGACAAGAACTTCTGGGTGTCCTTGGAGATGGGACCACCACCGTTCATGACGACACGAAGTCTGCCTCCGGTTGCCTCCTTGAGCTTCTTGAAGACAATGTTGTCCAAAATCGTGGCGCCCAGGCCCGAGCCAGGGAAGCCGGTAGTCATGAGGAAGCTCTTGGCCGACAAGGCACCCCAGAACAAGCCCTTAACCAAGAAGCTGGCCTTGTTCAAGTTGGCCAAGACACCCTTCTTCACTGACTCCCATACGGCCGGAACACCGACCAGAACGGTGGGCTTGAACTCCTTGATGTCGCCCAGGCAGTTCCGCATGGAGGCATCGGATAATGTTCGAGGGTTACCGTATCCCATAGTACCGCCCCAGAACAAACACATGTTCTCGAACATGAATTCCAGGATGTGAGATTGGGGAAGGTAGGTCAGGAGGGAGTCCGTGTGGTTGATACAGGGACCAATGACGGCGTGAACACCAGCAGCTATCAGAGAGATATTAGCTTAAAAAAGAGGTAGTCTCGCGGGCCATTTTCAACTTACTAGCAGCGATGACATTGGCGTGGGTCAATGGCACACCCTTTGGTGGGCCTGTTGTGCCCGAGGTGTACATGATGCAGCACAGGTCCTCTGGCTTGGGAGGAACAGGCTCCACGGGATTCTCTTCACCCTGCTTGCGCAAGTCCTCGATGCTCGTCACATTGATGTGGATAAACTCGCTGTGTAACTGATCAAGAAGCTTCTGGTCCATTTCAGTGTCGGTATTGTAGATAATGTGCTTGATTGAGGGCACGCTCCGGAGGATACTGATGAGCGATTTCAACAGGCCGGGGTCGAGGAAAATGGCAGTGCTGCCAGTTTGAACGATAGAGTGCTTCAGGCCCTCCTCGCCTAGGGTATCATATGCAGTCACGATGGTCACGGATTGGGAGGCAGCACCTGTAACAATCTGTTAGTGAGTTCGCGGTTCACAGAGAGAAAAGCAGAGGTAGACAAACCGTGTGACATGGCCAGCCAGTGAGCGCTATCAAGGGCAATCAAGTCAGTCATCCTGCCTCGAATTTCTTTGGAGTCGCAATGTCTCTCTTACCTAGTTGCACCGTAAAGGTGGATTCTGCCGCCCTTCTCAAAGCCCAGCTTGCGGAGACCACTACCAAGCTCCAGACAGAGCTTCTCATATTCGAGGAAAGTCTTGTAGGTATATCCACTCATTTCAAAATAGGTCCATTGCTTGTCGACCTCCTGTTCGACGCCATCCACAATCTTCTTGACCTTCTTGTTCTCCACATGGGTCTTGATTAGCCGACGACTGCCAACAGCTTTGGAATTGCCGAAGACGCGAGCGGACCGGCGCATATTCTCGTAGGTGGTAGTAACATCTTGGAGCGTTGTAATGAGGCCGTCCTTAGCCTTAGGGTGGCGACGGGGAATTGTCTCGCCAGGGACGCGCTCGTACCCGGATGCCTCGACCGAGAAGGGACCCTTCTTGACCATGCGCGGCTGGAGATTGATGTTTTGTGTCGACATATTGACTGTATGGCTCGCTCAAGGGAAAAGGGGGAGAAGCCGGGTCGGGGAAACTCGAAGAAAAGTTCCTCTACTCGAGGGGTCTGAGGTTAGCTAGTGCGGAAATAGCGCGGAGTGACCTTGTGAGGAGAAAACCCAGAGCTACAGCGAGCTGGAACAGAGGGTATGATGGAATGAATATTACCAAGTGAAGGAGAAGAGAGAGTAGTAGTATTGGTGCCTGAGCATTCACCGGGGGGAAGAGGAGAAAGTTGGACCTGAGTTTGGATATATGTGGCTGGTCTACGGTATATGACGCAGGAGGTCCAAGGGTTTTCGGCCTGGAGTTTTTTTTCTTTCTTTTTTTCTGTTTATGCTGTATCTTCGAGTGACACGAGCCGGTTTTTCCGTCTACATTCTTTTCTTCCTCTATATAAAGGTTTAATGTATAGAATCTGAAGTTGGAATAGCTGTTATAGCAATGTTCATAGTACCATTCCCTTGATATGTTTATTTAACCGGCAAATCGGTACCCGTTTACTTTTTCTGTTGGGCTCCCAACAATTATTATATGTATAACTCATAGCTTATACGAGTTCATGGAGTGTAGCACCTTTCAAAGTCTATTAACATAAATCGTAGGATGTATAGAGCGTATTTCATGTCTGATCCCGTGATCCCTCGGACATTTTGGTAAAATTAAAATATTCTCCAACCCATCCGGATATCAACTCATGGACGAACTCATCAAGTTACTCGCCAATGGCGAAGAGGTCACTGACGTGGATGAGGGTACGCTATTCCTATAATTATCCCAAGTATAGCTACTGAGCTGAAGTTATAGAATCATTTCTCCTCTTCGCACAAGACATCGCAAGCAACAACCTAGGGATGCTCAATCCCCGTGCATCATCAGTAGAGATCTCTATCAATGACAATGAATACATAATCTATCAATCACCGTCATTACTATCCTCTCATCGAGCGGGAGGTACTACAGGCGCCGGTAAGTACAGAGTACACGTATATTGTACTCAAAGCTCGCATGATCTACACCAGTGTTCTTATGATTTTCCCCCGGAATCCCCCCAGAGACACGAAAACTCAAGCTCGGACTACTCTGCAGGTCTTTTACCCGAGTCCGAAGTGCCCAGACCAGGCCCGAGGGTCGCGGCGTCGAGTCGTATCCGTTTGCCTGTGCCTCGGCTCTCGGTGTGAATGTCTCTCATTTTTGACTCAAGCCCTAACACTGTCACACTGTACTTTTCTCCCCCAACACGAGTTCTAGTTGTCAGCTGTTCCACTGTCTCTTGGCCTTTCCCCCCTATTCATCCCTTGGAATACCTTGGCTCTCCGCCCCTACATATCCACAAAACATCCCCCCCGCTTTCAATGATCACTGCCATCACCATCCCTCCCAAACTTAGCCTACTAACCCAAGAAACTCAGTTCTATGGAAAATCACCCCTCTCTTCGCAGAATGGGTAACCAACCCCTCAAATCCGCTCTGGACAACCGCCTTCCTCGGCCAAGCCTCAACTGTAGTCGAACTCGGCACTGGGATCTCAGCTCTAGTCGCGCTCGTGCTGGCGCCCTCTGTGCACCACTACATCGCCACAGACCAAGAATACGTGCGCAAGTTGTTCCGAACGAACCTTGACGCTAACACGTCCGTCTCTTCTAGCAACAGCAGCAACAAATCAAAAGGCAAGAGCAAGGGATCCAAATCATCCAAATCAAAGCCAACATCATCTCCTGCCAAGCCTGTAGATAATATTTCCTTCGCAGCTCTGGACTGGGAGACTGACCAGGCCACTTCACTGAAAGAATGTGTGGATCCCGACGACGTTCGGGCCAAAGATGCAGAGGAAGAAGAAGATCGAGGCTTCGACCTCCTCCTTTCCTGTGACTGCATCTACAACGAAGCACTCGTGGCACCGTTTGTTCGCACCTGCGCCGAGATTTGTCAATTGCGGCCAGCATATGTGGCTGGTTCGGAGGAACAGAGCTCGCACCGCAAGCCGACTGTTTGCATTGTCGCGCAACAGCAGAGGTCGCCTGATGTGTTTGAGACTTGGCTTAGGGAGACGATGCGGGAGTTTCGGGTTTGGAGGTTGAGTGATGATGTGCTTGGGGAGGGACTGAGGAGTGGGTCTGGGTATTTGGTACATTTGTTATTGGCGAAGCATAAATAGACAAACACAGCTGTAGATACAACAGAAGTAGGTATTGGTGGCTATGTTCATATGTGTCAAGGGCATACATGCTGTTCAGGTACTTTACATAATTGACATGGAAGCTTCAGCTCTTCTTTTACTAAAATCACTTGGTTCGAGTTACATTGAGATGGCCGCAACGGGCGAGACTGTTTAGAGGAATAGTTTCGAAATATGTTTAGTTTGTTGGAGCTTTCTTCATGCATAAAATCCATGGATGAGGATGTCCCCCATTTCTCGAAACGGTTGCAGTTACACACCCGTTTCTTGCATTGACAGTAAAAACCCCGAATGGTTCTTTCGATCAGATAAGGCACTCTATATGCAATAACAGGTATCGACAACGTACTTTCGTTTCCCCGATCGTTTTACGAGTAGATGATATTTGCTGCATGGTACGTATATATATGAACTCAGGTATGGCCGGAAGATTGTATATGATTGGCTATGGAAGTATTGCACGATAACGCCCAGCGTCAAGCTGCTGTGTTTGAAGGAAATGGAAGACACCAGGACCACCCGAATATAACGAAAGGGCATCTGAAAAGATGGAATGCCCCAAGACAGCATTCTAAACAGACACAGCAACAAACAGATGTAATAGTAACATGATGCAATTGATTATCATATCGAGAGCTGATATCCGCATACGCTCAAAAAAGAATTATGTAGGTGTATATATGTATTGCCGGCGGAAATCGACATTGAAGATAAACATTAGTCCGCATGGACGGCATCTAAGGCTCCGCATTTTCTTTTTCCGCGGCAGGCGGCGAGAATTCATATTTGCGTTTCGATGGCACAGATGACTCGGTTGGTGTAGGGGATGGACCTTGGATCCCCGATTCTGACGGTGGGATGGTTGCCAGCACCTCTCTGGAATCCGTTTCCGGGGTGCGGTCGATAATAGACGAGATGGACTGCTTGGTCGATCCGTTGACTGTGTGCTTGGGGGGTGTTGCCGCGGCAGAGTCGATGGGAGTGCCCTCGCCGTCAAGCATGAACCGATCTAAAACTTCGGTTTTGACTCGGTAGGAGCTCTCGCGCTCAAGCTCGCCCTCGGACTCGGAGTCCATCTCATCATAGTGCTGGTCGCCATCGTGGTCCATGGGAATAGAGCCCAGGGGACTTCCCTCTGTTGAGGCACGGTGGCTATTCATGACTGGCGGGAGGGGGGCGTTCGGATCGTAGACTACACCGCAGACTTCGAGAGCCCGGGACTGGCTGCCCAACGTGCGGTCTTTGTGTTTCTTAGTGAGATGGCACATGAAGCCGTGGAGGGTGACAAAGTCGGATTTCCCGCAGCCGTGGATCGGACAGGTGAGGTATACTAGGCTTCCGTCGGAGGGTCGTTTCCACAACGCTCGCCCAGATGGATCATGCGCTGCTGGTCGGCCGTGGCGTTCGCCCCATGCCTCTACATTTTTGATGGTGTATTTTTGCTTGCGGCGGATAGAGCCCGCGCTGTGTATTGAGTCATGGGAAAGCACTGGGTGTGGATGCTGAGAAGGTGGAGGAGGTGGAGGAGCTTGGTGATGAGGTTGGGTATGCATGTGAGGTGGTGGTGGCATTGAGGGCGGTGCCTGAGATGTAGGTGGAAGGGGGGGCTTGACGGGGCTCCGGGGGGCTCTGCTGCTTGAAGAAAGCTAATGTGGTTGCTGCACTGGTCTCTGATAATCGGCGAGGTGGTGTGGGACGTAGAGGCGGCGAGTCGCTCACGGCATTGAGTCCCAAGCCCATAGACTCTCTCTTTAACTTCTTGCGTTGTCGTCGAAGATCCTATGAAGCTTGTTTTAGAATTCCAACTCCCAATGCCCAATCGGGTATCAATATTCGGCCTACCTCTTCCTCTGCCTCGGCTCGTTCGGTCATTGACCGAAATTCCTCGTCTTCATGTTTGCGCATTGCCAGAATGCGACTACGGGCTGCATTCCGGGCCATTTCCTCGTGCTCTAGATGTCGAAGTCGAGCTTCGATATGTTCCAAAGAAGCTGGACTGTGTACTGGTGGCACTCCTTGGGAGGGATGATGTTCATGCATGGGCGGCGCAAAATGACGGAAGTGATGACTCTGCACCATCTGCTCCGGAGGTGGCATTTGATGAGGTGGATTTGGATTCATGGCAATGGGGTGATAGCGAGGAAGATGGTTGAGATGGCCGGGTATGCCACTATCGGGGCCAGTATGATGCACTGGTGGTGCAGTTGTCATTGTGAGTATGCTAGAGGTTATACAATCTGAACTGCACCAAGAGCTGAAGAGATGAAGAAGTCAAAAAGGGAAAAGCAAAAAAAGTAAAGAAAAAAATAAAGAAAAACAGGATGAGACAATCTAAAGGGCAGACCCATCTCCGATCTATGGGTCGACGGTTTGGAAAGGATTGACATTCAGAGCTAACAATAATAAAAAAAATAAGAAAATGTGTGAAATAAAATATGAAATAATATTCCATAATAATAGAAATTAAGAAATGACTCTTTCCACTAGCGCGACCCTTCTGCACCCCCGTTATCTTGAAAAATTCCCCTAACGGCGTAAGGGATCTCAGGGGATCTCGACATATCTTATTGATCGGATTGATGGTGTATCGTATTGAATAGATAGAATATTATACAAGGTCATCTAGGATGTTTTTGATTTACCAAACCACCTCATCCATGGAATTGGCTCGACGCTAAAATGTAAACAAATCAGAATGAGAAGAACCTTCATTTCCTTTGGATCAGAATGGAGCCTAATCTACACGACCAATGATCGGCATCTCCATACAAAATTGGTCACTTGACATCGAACATGACAAGTCTAAAATTTTCTTGTCAGATTGGATTTTGTTCCAATCTCGATTTTTTTTGTCTTAGATCTCTACTCCGTCCTGTAGGATGACCTTTTTGGATTTGAGCTTCCCCGGAGAAAAGTAGGAATCGCCTGAATCCTATTTTTCATGGTATACCTAGGTATACACCCGAAAACCCTTGGAAAGCTAAATTCGATAGTCGAATGAGAGCCTCCGTGATTGAATTTGCCCCTATCCAATAATAAGCAACAGATCTACTCCCATTACTGCCAAGGATACCCGTGGACATCTGGGAGATCATTATGTAATACTTGTTCCTGAGAAGTTCCATGGTAGCCATAGAAGCGGGAAGAACATTGAAAATGTCAACAGCGGCCGGAGTACGGAGTAGATGGAGTACTTGATGGCCTCTCCACATATTATTGTCTGGTGGCATCAATTTATTTGATTTGTGTATCGCCGTACAACACACCTCTCCGTACGGAGGATGGAATACTCCATATGGAGGACAATAACAAATACATGCTATGTAATCTTCTCAGGGGATCGAGGAATCAAGGAAAACTCTACCCACATATTTAGGGCCCCCAAATTGTAACCAGAATATGGGTCTTGTCTGGATTTCCTGCTCAACTGACTTATTATCGCATCATTATGGGGCTGCAGTGAACGCCAGGGCTTAGCTTGTAAAGGCAAGCAACGGCAAAAAGGGAGAAGCCTCTTCAGAAAAAAAAATAAATGATAAATAAACAAGAACACACATGTCAAGTGGGGAAATGGAAATAATCATGCGTACTAGGGGCACGCTAAGGCAGCTGGTCTCACACAAGAAATGATCGACGAATGGGCGAGACAGAGAAGGTAGTTTGAAAATTTTCGACGGACTTGGACCGGGACTTAATTTAACCATACACTTATTGTATATATCCAATCTATTGCCGGCATTGATAGTAAATTAAGACCACACTTGTCCCCCTGTCTAGTGCAATTCTATATTAAAATCAAAGCCTATGGAGTACGTACACGATCTTAATTAGAAATAATTCTTGTTTACAAACATCATTGCAAAGGACCCACTGTGGCAGCCCAACTACTGTGTACAAGAATGATTTGCTGCTTGACCGCACCGCTGCAGGGAAAGCCTGCACAGTTGCTTCGTTCTATCGGCTCGAGTCCAGATTGGCCTGATGGCAAGAAGTTGCTGTTCTCGTGTTTTGAATGTACGGCCAAATCTTGTTTTCATTCCGGCTCCTATGGAGATGTAATATACAGGGTATCGAGGACAATTGTAGGATTCAGCATTGTTCAACACAACCGAACACAAGCCACATAGTAGAAGCTTGCAGAAATCTACCTTTTACCTAAATCGAGGTGCAGTGTCCATGGCTACGCTCTACTATCCCCTCTCATACCTCCTTCAATGTCTAGCCCCTCTCGCCCAATTCTTATAATTCACTCCTAGTGAATTTGCCTTGTTTCTTTGTGGATGATGCAAGGATGAGAACACTATAGAGTCGATTGGTCCAACCAAACGGACTGCAGTTAAACCTTGTACGATGGGAGCAAAGTGGAGGCGCAGACGCCAGATTTCGATTAATAGATTGGTGCGATTGAAAGCCATACAGTTTCAGGTGACTGGCTCAACGTGTGCTCTGGCGGGACCAAGGGTCAACAACCCGTGCGCCAGTTGGGAGATTCCGGCCTATCATCGTTGTCATTACTCCAGATATTTGACTTTGCGGTGGACATGACACTCGGAGTCCAGTAATATGTTTGTTATTCAACGCGTTCAAATGTAGTCCGTATTTCGGGTAATAATAGCCACTGCTACCACCGCCTATGTACATACATCCGAATGGTTGGCTTAGCCACAATGGCTTCCATTGGTTGTCATATTCCTGGATATACGACGGCATAAAATAGGCGTCTGTACGTTCAATGCCTTTTTACCAGCCTTTTTTTTCAAAAAAACCCCCCATTTCTAGCCAATACATGGGGAAGGGGAATGAGATTCGAAAGGACCAATGAAGACATCGTAGTTTTATTGGAAATGCACCATCCCTTCTAGCACATGTAGCCAAATGGATCAGTTTTATAGAGTCCTACGTTATCAAGGAGGCCGTAGAAGCGGACGAATAGATTCTCTGGTGCTGTTATGATCACTAACACCACATTGCAATGCCATATGCAGGGTGTTTGTGGAAACGGGTTGCATGCTGCAAAGCTAGAAAGCGTATCATGTAGCAGTTGATTTGAGCTGTGTGTTGTTTGCCTCTGTGCCTATGAAGTCTGGATTGGGCGGTACCAAGTACCTACCTACTCCATTCATATATGTACATGTAGAAAGTGAAGCTGATAAGCCCAGAAGCAATTACGGCTGCATCCGTCAGCCAGTAAATTCCAACTGCCCATGTCACTGGCAGGTAGGTCAAACGTACGGAGTACTCCGTACATACGCAGACATGCACACTAATGTTGATTCAACTGAATCCTACAGTTGGAGGTTGGGAGAAAATGACTGTGAAGCGAGAGGAGAATTGTCCGATTTCTATTGTCACATGCCCATGAAAGCCAAAGCCTACCACATCCTTTTTTGTGGCCCCCCTGCCGTAATGTCATTAAATACAACTGTAGACAATCCCGGCATGATCACTTCCAGGCGATTAACCCGAATAGTGGCACGAGGGCAGAAGAGAAAAGAATATAGGATCATACATGGGTGTGGTAGTTAAACACCGATACACCGGAAAACGCGAAAGAGTAAAAAGGGGCCTTGAAAGTATGTGTACAGGTAAAATGCGAGGAAAGGAGATGCAAAATCAGGGAGTCTCTGAACACAAAAGGAAAAAGAAAAAGGAAATTGATAGAAAAATACAGGAACCATTTACGGTTCAGGTGTGGCAGTTATAAAGGGAAAAGCATTTACTGCTTGTTCTCGCCCTGCTGCTCACCACCCTGCTGCTGCTGCTGCTGCTGCTCGTTGTTGGCCTTGTGCATCTTGTCGAAGAGGGTCAAACTGGCGGTCTGGAGGTCGTCGACCTTCTCCTTGAGCTCCTCAGCAGTGGTGGTGCTCTCGCCAGACTGGCTCTTGACAACGAACTCACGGAGGGTGGCGATCTTCTCCTTGATAGCATCAGCCTCAGCCTTGTCAAGACGGTCCTCGAAGTCCTTAAGGGCCTTCTCAGTATCGTTCAGGACACTGTCAGCGCGGTTGGCAGCCTCAATGGCGGCCTTGCGCTCCTTATCGGTCTCAGCGTACTTCTCGGACTCCTCAACCATGGACTGGATCTCGGCATCAGAAAGACCGGAGCCGGAGGCAATGGTGATAGACTGGTCCTTGTTGGTGGACTTGTCCTTGGCGTTGACGTGAACAATGGAGTCAGCGTCAATGTCAAAGGTGACCTCAATCTGGGGAACACCACGGTGAGCGGGGGGGATGCCAACAAGCTGGAAGTTGCCCAACATCTTGTTGTCACGGACGAGCTCACGCTCACCCTGGTAGACCTTGATCTCGACAGCGGTCTGCATGTCAGCAGCGGTGGAGAAGGTCTGAGACTTCTTGGTGGGGATGGTAGTGTTGCGGTTGATCAGACGGGTGAAGACACCGCCGAGGGTCTCGATACCGAGGGAAAGAGGAGTGACATCGAGCAGGAGGACGTCAGTAACCTCACCAGCCAGGACGGCACCCTGAATGGCGGCACCGATGGCAACAGCCTCGTCAGGGTTGACGGACTTGGAGGGCTCACGGCCAAAGATGGACTTGACGGACTCAGTGACCTTGGGCATACGGGTCATACCACCGACCAGGATGATGTCCTGGATGTCACCAGACTGGAGGTTGGCGTCCTTCAGGGCCTTGCGGACGGGCTCAGTGGTGCGGGAGATAAGGGGGTCAACCAAAGCCTCGAGCTGAGAGCGAGTCATCTTTTGGGTGATGTGCAGGGCTCCGCTGGCGCCGGCGGTGATGAAGGGAAGACTGATCTCAGTCTGGAGGGACGAGGACAGCTCGATCTTGGCCTTCTCGGCGGCCTCACGGATACGCTGAATGGCCATACGGTCACCGGTAAGGTCGACACCGGTCTCCTTCTTGAACTCGGCAACGATGTTGCGGACGAGGTGGATATCGAAATCCTCACCACCGAGGTGAGTGTCACCATTGGTGGACTTGACCTCGAAGACGCCCTTCTGGATCTCAAGGACGGAGATATCGAAGGTACCACCACCGAGATCGTAGACAGCAACGACACGGTCAGCCTCCTTCTCCATACCGTAGGCAAGAGCAGCAGCGGTAGGCTCGTTCACGACACGGAGAACGTTCAGGCCGGCAATCTGACCAGCATCCTTGGTAGCCTGACGCTGAGAGTCGTTGAAGTAGGCGGGCACGGTAACAACGGCGTTCTTAACCGGCTTGCCGAGGTAGGCCTCGGCGGTCTCCTTCATCTTGTTGAGAATGAAGCCACCAACCTGGGAAGGAGAGTACTTCTGGCCACGGGCCTCAACCCAGGCGTCACCGTTGGTGTGCTGGACGATCTTGTAGGGAACCTCCTTAATATCACGCTGAACCTCACCGTCGGTGTACTTGCGACCGATCAGACGCTTGGTAGCGAATAGAGTGTTCTCGGGGTTGACAACGGCTTGACGCTTAGCGGCAATACCGACCAAGCGCTCGCCATCCTGGGCGAAACCAACGACAGAGGGAGTAGTGCGAGCACCTATTGAAAGATTGGGTTAGTTTTCAATTTCATTCAAGCCTATCAGACTGGGGGTGGAAAGTCTTCTGATTCGAGCTCAAAAGCTACTCCGACCACCTTTCCCGCAGGAATTGAAATCTTAGAAACGTACCTTCGGCGTTCTCAATAATCTTAGCGGCCTTGCCCTCCATAACAGCGACGGCAGAGTTGGTGGTACCTGTAAAGTATCATGTTAGAATTCTGTCAAGGTGAAATGTCGATTTGATCTTGCGTCAGTACTTACCGAGATCAATACCGATGACCTGGCCCTTTACCTTCTCCTCACCACCCTCTGTGGAGTTCCATCTCCGGAATGAGGCAGGGAGTCTGGAGGCAGGAGTGCGAGCGAAAGCAGCGCGCGGGAGCTGTGAAAACTGAGTCAGTGACGTGCGACGCGTAGATTTTTTTTTCTCGGGAAGGTGAAGCTTACTGCGCGAGTAATTGTGCGAGGAAGCATTGTGATAAATTAATTAATAAAAGAGAAAAAAGAGACACTCCAACGACTCAATCGTGGAGTTTAAAAAGGACAGAAGGGATGGAAGAGATGGAGATGGAGAGATGGAATCGAAAAGAAGGGGAAAAGGGAATAGAAATTGCACGGAGAGCTTCGGCCCGTCGAACTTGGTAGAATCACGGGATCTGACCAATCAGGGTGGGAGCTTCCAGGTTGCCGTCGACAGCCTCCTAGGTAACCGAGCTCACCGCCTTGTTGCCATATACGGGTATACACTAGCTTATGGATGGGATAGGCTGGCATACATTCAGATAGGAGATACACCAGAGAGCTAAGATTTTATGGTAGATACTGAGACAGATAGGGATAAATAAAAGGGAATTCCACTGTATATTGTATATCATGTAGTAAGTACGGAGTACTCCGTATTGAGGTGGCAGTTCAATGGCACATCATTCCGATGTGGCAAAGACTCGAAAACCTTAGCTCCGAGCTACTCCCGAGGTCCATATGTACAATCTGGTGTCTTGTTATGTTTTTATACAAAGAGACATGTAAAAGAGCTGTCGTAATAAGCATTTCTTCCTCAATTCAGTTGCGACAATTGTGTATCTCCAGTGGGTGAACCAGTCATACCCTCAACGTGTCGTGTGACTTGGTCGGCAAACTCCCCTTCGCTGTTGGCTTGGCCGAACTTGAGACAAGATTGAGAATAGACCTAAAAGACAGCCTGGATCAAGATGATCAATGACAATCCATGTACGAAGTACTTTAGGAGGGAAAATAAGTCTTGGCCCAGATTATTGGAAGTGAGGACTTGACTGGGGACATTTCGGGACTGGCATGGCGAATACCACTATGGAGTCTATCGAATCCAGATTCAGAATCCAAAATCCATAAACAGTGTAATGCATCATCATGAATGATCAAGGCCGGTTCCGGGGTGACAGTCACAAAACCGCATTCGTTGGAATTTGCAGTTCCCCGGCTTTTTGTCCCAGTCCCAGATCTTACGTCATCCATGAAAAGCACCCAGTTACACTTTGAACTGCAGAGAGAGAGAGAGAGAGATAGAGAGCACAGACTAATCAAAGTAATATTTTTTTTCCCCACGAACAAAAGAAAACATTGTCCCTACCTGTCAAGTTGCTCTACTCCAACGGGGAGCTCCCGTTTCTCTCTTCGAACTTCCCCGCTCGAACAATGTCATCTCTGGCTTAGCTCTATCCACCATGACCTCGGATTCGAATCTGTGAGTCTGGTGCAGCATACTATCGGAAATAGCTCTAATGTGGTCTTAGACATCGCCCAACCGAGGCTCTCATCCTCCCGACCAAGCGACGCTTCTTCCCGTTCAAGATCCCCAACTTGTTCGTTGATCAACTTATCTTCCTTATCTTCCGTGCGCAACCTAACCCAAACCTTTGGTTTCAGTCACTCGCAGCTTCGCAATTATATTAGTACTGCTGATCCCGATCACATTTATGTTGTCGTCGAGAGAATCGTGTACTCAATACAAATATCGGCACAAAAGCGCGAAAGTGTAGCTGTGATCCCATTTGAGCCGCGTTGTCTAGTCGCTGGACATGGTTGGATAGTAGTGGGAGGCCCAGAGAATGGCGAATGTGCTTTCATTCACATCGGTGATCGCGGAATGCAATTCCATGACGATGCGCCCTTCCAGGCCGATGTGGATAGTGCGCTCCCGCTCGATCTTGATCCACCGTCAATGGCTTCGCCGGGCGATTCGAATGCCGATTCTGCGTCAACCCGTTATCGAAGCAGCAGATCATCCCCCGAAGTAGAGCTTCATCGATTCGGTGGAAGTATTGTCAATTCAGTGGCTATCCATCGTTTCCATGGTGGTAGCGAGGAGTTCGCGGATGAAGATATCGTGGTTTTGAGGTGCGCGCAAGTCGGAAATGGCTGTCTTCTCACCATGCTAATTATTTGAATAGCAATAATGATCGGACAGTCACGGTGTATTCGCTGACTCGTGCGAAAGTCATTAAGGTTCTTCATCATCCGACTTGTATGAACTATGCGACAATTTCCCCGGATTCTAAATTTCTCACGGCCGTAGGGGATGAGAATCATGCCTATTTCTATGAAATTACTCGTGATTTAGAATCATCTGGGATAACAGAGTCTGGACAGAAACTCACGGGGTGGGAATGGGAGCTTGTCAATCGCCTGGCGATGAACATTGGGCTGCGGGCGGATGATGCGTGCTGCTTCACTGTCGCTTTCTCGCCATCCAGTCGCTTGTGCGCCATCGGATCCCAATCTGGAATCATCACGGTCATCGATGTCGAGTCTGTCTGCAACAACCTTGGCGACTCGGATGATGCCGCTATTCTTTGTCAATTCCCGACGTCAAGATCATGCGCTGAGGGTGGTGCTGTTCGTTGCATGATATTTTCCCCTGAGCCATGGGACCTTCTTGTATGGCTGGAGGGCCACGGCAGAGCCGGCGTGGCTGATGTTCGCCAAAATTTTATGCGCAGGCAAATCCTCCATTTAGATTCTAATGACCCGCAATTACAGGAAGTCTACACGGACCTTTCGACAGAGAACTTCGAACGACACCCCGTGAGCGGGGATGTCCTGGAGGCGACACCACGAACGCGACTCGACAACGAGGATCTTTTACCTGAGCAGAATGGAGAGCAAACGGAGCGGTCGTCTCTGCGAGAGTCTTTGATTCAAGATCTTACCGAGAGAGAAAGGTTGATCATGGAATTTCTGAACACGGCACGCTGGACGTCGCGGCTGGAAGAAGGGCTTACTGAACGACCGGAGCGCCCGGCCAGGGCAAGCCTTCAACCTCAACCAGTGGCTCGCCCGCAAAATCACGGTTCCACAGATGGTGCCACTCGCACTCATCGTCCTACTTCACCCCTGCGTCGCTATGATTCTTCTGATGTCTCCCGCGATAGTAATCTGGGCCGCACTCTAACGAACCCAAGACGCCAAAGCTCGGTGGTGGTATCTCAAGGAAGTCGACCTACGGAAGCGACGCCACCTCATCATGATCGCCAATCGGGCATCACCCTCAGTTATTCGACCTCGCACTCAGAGCTCACACCCCTCAGGTCAGAAATTATCTCTCGGGCTGGCACGGACCCTGAACCGATCAACCACGAAACTAGCGTATCAAATCAACAGACTGGAGCTTCGAATCCAAGTCTAGACATCCATGGCTTGAACCACCGATCCCAACAGCCAAGCTCCATTCCCCGGCGCGTCGAACGACCACAAACCGGAGCGGAGAGAAGAAACGACAGCTCCCGCCTCACCACATATGAGATTCGTGCAAATGTCGCTGCTGAGAGGCTTCGGAATCAGCGCCAGATTGCTAATGAGGTACATAACCGCTCTTTTGAAAGGGAACAACGACATCGCCAACACCTCCTCGGATTTGAACAGACACATTCTCCCCGCTGGATTAGAAATATAATCAATGATCTCCCTGATCGAAATTCAATGCATGGCACCGGCGCCGAGGAGCCAGATTCCACTGCTGGAGTTGGCTGGGGCGCCGATGGCCGCACATTGTGAGTGTACAATACAGTAACTTTGCGGAATTAGACTAACTTTTACAGGTACATCGCCACAGTTGAAGGGATTTTTGAATTCCCACTGAACATTCACGATCGGAAAACATTCCCTATTTTCTCTTGCCGTTAACGTCCTATGCCTGGCGTTACAGGGAATTTTCTATCTAACGTCATCTGGTCTCGCTTCTTTTAATTCTTCGTCATTTCTTTTACTTCTGCTCACGCAGGCTCCACAAATGCCCCAGATCTCTCTGGACAAGGGATATACTGCTGAACAAGGATGGTCCACAGTCTTCATTTTACAAAAAGGGACTCATTGGCCATTCCTTGTTAGGACCCGCTCTTGTCGTGCTAACGAAGTCAATATTTTTCTCCCATGGAATTGTTCTCACATACCCTTCTGGCGCTTAGGGGCGTACATCATCTTATCCCGATTCCATTTGTCTTATTTTCCATGCTATATCCACAATTCATTGTATAACTGATTGAAGTAAAAAGGTTAGGTCACATATTTTCTTTTTGCTAATACAGCCTTCTCTGAATTGAGAAAATAAAAATAGAGACCAAGCAGATAAGCGATAAAAAAAAACCAAGCAAGGAATAACAACATGAATGTACCGTTGTCGCAATCAGCCACTTTTGATGCCACGCTGATCATGCTCAAATCCATATATGACAATGTGCTATACAATCCCTTCGTTGTTGCGCTGGAAAAAATTTGTTGATATTGTGTATCTGAAGCATCTAGTTGTAACATCGCAGCTCAATTCGGAGGCGTCAACATGAGAATAATATCAACCTGGTGATCCATTGAGGTGGACGAGTAGACTTGTAACTTATATGGACCTAGTATATTTCAACAAGATCCTTTGTGCAGGACAAGGTCAAGAGCTGTTTGAAATTCATCGTCTATGATATGAGAAACGATGACTCCGAGCACTATCTATGGCCAGTGTGAACATTTGTATGTTTTCTAGCAATCCTAGCCTAGGCTACTGCAATCCTATACACTATACTATGTGAGTTACGGTATTGGCCTAGCCTTACCTCTTTGGGCTTAGCTCCCAGATACACCGTCATATAACCTCCTTTGAGTCCCTTCAATGCTCCCAACATAAAAGACTCTCAAATTTTCATTCTTCTACCTCTTTATATTGGACTCATCGCTGTGCCCCTGTTAATTAATCCACCACCCAAGGCACGATTATACATAGAAAAGCCTCGTGCACAAAGTATGCCTTTTCCGCCTTTTTCTGCCCTCTACATATAAGACTTGAAAGGGGGAAATCTAAACTATCTTACAGATATCTCAGAAAAACACCTAAAAAGACTTAAAAGTCCAATTAAGAGTCTGGTAAGACATCACATAAGGCAGCATAAGCGGCCGCCTACTCTTGTATGCCATATTTCAGGAAAAATACAGCGTATTTTACCAATAGACCACACACAAAACTTAGTACTAAGCTTATTGTATGGACCTCGAGCCTAGGGGTGCCATATCCATTGTTTTTTTTTTTTTTGCCACCATATTTTCTAGCCTGCGAAGAAACTAGAAACGAGGTTCTGTGCGCTCCCAATAACTTCCTCGGAGAACCAATCGAGGCCTAGTAGCTAATGACAACAAGTATGGAGTTTTGTAATATTACTTGGATCAGACGTAACTATCCTTAGTCTATCCATATATGCAATATATGAAGTGGCAAGATTGATATTGAGCCCTTCTAGATTGCAAACGCAGTCAAGATGACAAAATAGCAACAGATGTGAATTCATGACATCAAAAGTGACTATCCAAAGCATGGGCTCTCTGGGCCTATCATAATCGTTATGAGTCATGAAAAGCCAATGCTTGATATCGTTGCAAGTATGCACGATTAACATCTTAGCTGATTTTCCATTCAATAAGCCTGGTGTCCTCCACATTCAGCACTGTCGACACCCCGCGCGCAACCATTTCCGCGGGCATCAAGCTCCTCTCGCTTGTAAGCTTGGTGTCCTCCACATTCAGCACTGTCGACACCCCGCGCGCAGCCATTTCCGCGGGCATCAAGCTCCTCTCGCTTGTAAGCCTGGTGTCCTCCACATTCGGCACTGTCAACACCCCGCGCGCAACCATTTCCGCGGGCATCAAGCTCCTCTCGCTTGTAAGCTTGATGTCCTCCACAATCAGCGCTGTCAATACCGCGTGCACAGCCATTCCCGCGGGCATCAATAGAAGCGTAATCTAGGATGAAAGTTAGCGTCTGAATCTGTAGCCCACAATGTAGAATCCAGTACCGCTAATGGGCGCGGCAAGGCACAAGTATGGCAAGGCCAACAGAAGGTAGGCAAAACGCATCTTGTCAGATGTTGTGAAGACTTTGGAATTGAGGTTCGAGTATTCGAGTGAGTAAGTCGGTTGGAAAGGGGCTGGCAGAGTCGTGAAGGTTGGCATGGACTTGGAACGGGAATTGAATTGGCTTTTATAGATAATCAAGGTTGTATACAGCCGACTGGTCCTTAGTGAATATGCCTTGTTGAATTGACTGTTCAGCATCCCTCTCTAGACTCACTGCTCACCCCGCTTCCATCTCACTCTCTCTCTACGCCACTCTTGATGATTTGTACCGCATACTGTCGCATTTGATTGATTCCGTCTTTGAATACGTAGGCTAGGAATACCATACGTATTTTTCCCATACGCGTTTCTTCTTGTGGCCCTCGGAGATGCTTTGCCGAGTTGAGAAACGTTATCAAAGACCAAGAGACACACAGAATCTACTAAAGCGCAATCTAATGCAGTGCCTAATGCAGTTTGAATACTACCTGGGGGCCAGGAAAAGCTCAATGACCGTCGGGCTCCGGCAAATATCCTTTCATCTCACTTGATCTAAAACCAATCGGTGTTTTTTGCTTACTATCATTGCAGGTGCCGGAAATGGACGTGCCGCCTGCAACGTGTCATATCATTGAGCGTCTCCTTTGAGACACCTACGGGAGTCAACTATTTCCTTGAAGTAGACTCTAGATAGAGGCTTGAGATGACATCTGTTCGATAGCAAGCAAGAGAACTGAGAGAGCTGTGCGGGTGGCCTAATTGAATCCCGTACTATCTTCATTAGAAGTTCCTAGATTTTGACACTGAAAACGTGTTCCCTCATGGCAGGCTCATTTCACAGGAGAACGTAGGGAGGAGCAGAAAGTTGCTGATACCCACAAGGAAGAGAAAGAAAAGGAAAACGGGGAAAGGGCTACGCTTGTGAAAGGTTTTATTGGATTGAAGACTACCGTAGCTATTGTGATAGAATTCTTTCTCTTGCAAGTAGAAAATCAACTTGCTTTCCTGAAAAGAAAAACTACATCCTAGGCTCAGACGCTTACCATAAAGTGTATGCTATCAGGGTGAGTTCCCACTGACAGTGTAATTGAATGGACTTGCTGGAATTGAAAAGATCAGTTAGCATCACACCGGTCTTTGCGTTTCAAGATATTATATGTTTCTTACGTAGTTCAGGGTGATAATCTGGATGACGGATCAAATCAGGATCGAATCCATCGAAACTGTTCGCCAAAACCCATTCCTCGATAGACTCCCAATTCGCACACTTATGCACGACCTCGAAATTTGGCCACGGCTTGGGATAATTTGGGATCCAGTCAAAAGTGTTAATAGACAAATCCGCGTTGCACATCACATACTGCCGTAAGCCATCCAAACAGTGGTCTTTGAAGAAATTAGCTTGCACAAAATGAATGATGGTGGCAGGACTTACCAATATGCTGGCCTAGATTTTCCTCGGTGGAGTTGTAGTGGTCTTGGTGAATGTACCTGCGCACCCATCTCTGTAGGATATCTTTATTAGCGGAAGCCGATTTCAACTATGCATGCTATATTGGATACGTACCAAGCAATGTAGCTGATGATATACGTCCAAGGCAGCCATATACCCCGATCCATCTCGAAGCTCAACAGAAGTGCGATTGATTCTGTCCAGTGATTCCTTATCCACGAGAATGGCAGCAGACGGATGGAGAAGCTTATTCCATGCCTCCTCTAATTCCGGTCTGGGTGGTCCTTTGAACGGATTCGTTATCTCCAGCTGATTTTGAAAGGTTCTCAGTTCCCACTTGAGTGCCTTTGATGCTGGGCCTAAGTTCAGGTGTCAGCAGCAATTAGGCGGACGAACGATATCATACTCACTATAAGCTGGGGCGAATTTGGATGCATCTGCCTCTGAACAACGAGATTGTGAACGGTCCCAGAAAAGAAAGAAGATTGTTGTATAAACGGTAAAGACAAAAAGTTGGATGAGCCATGGCAAACATTGCTCGTAGGGGCTCCTCTTTGGCGAACGAATATGCTTTTCAGCAAATTCGCTTTCTTCGTCTACTGATAGCGAATTTGATCTCGTTGGGAGGAAGGGCCTCTCCTCCATCAATTCACTTTGTGGATGTGTCATGTTGTGCATCCAAGATGCATACTTCGGTAAGAATGCGAATAGAGATAAAAATTTGAAAAGGCTGACTTCTCGGCAAGTGAAAGGGAGACTGACTGTGAGATTTTTTTTCCCTTCATCTCAAGACTACCCCGCTCATGCCGCGAGACATCGAGATAAATTGTGTCTTGTAGATAGGCGCGGAAAACCTCCGAGGTTGATGCATGATGACTGCAGCCTCGGGGAGTCAACGAGATTAGCGTGGCAAGGGTTATACTGCAACCGACCCCCTGCATTTATTTTCCGAAGGATTTCCACTTGTAATTAATTATGCAGCTATTTTAGTACATTTGGGTATAGAAGATACACAAGAGAGCGGCTTCGGATGAGCAAGCTAGAAGGCCGTGAGAAATATTAGCTGCTTGCTTGGGACAATGCTGCATTAAGGATTAGCCTGAGCGAAATTTCACGGCCTCGGCGGGGCCGAATCAGTAGTTCTATAGCTGATGAGATAGTGGTCTCTTTCCCTCCTCATTCATCACCTCCATCAACCGACTTCCCATCAATCCTCCAGCAACACTTCTTATCTTTACTTCTTCAGTCACTCCGGTAGACATCCAATATGGGTCTAGACATAAGATACCTCATTGGAGGTAAATTCAAGACAGAACAAGAATACTCCATCTTGAGCTCCAACGATCCTGAAGTCTTAGACTCTTCTAAGCCCTCGAGAGAAGCCTCTACAAAAACAAACAATTTGCGATTTGGTGGCTCCGCTCGGTTCAAAGTCGTATGTGCTGCTGCCATCATCAGCACGGGAATTGCTCTGGCGATGCTATTTTTCACATTCCTGGGGTGGAATATGTGCTCTTCGAGGCCGCAAAACTCCCTTCTTAAGACACCAGTGCCATCTTGTCTGTCTTGAAAAGAAACTTCATTTGAGAGAACAATGAACTGACCAGTCTATAGTCCCCAAAGAGATTCGATATTTTGAATGGAATCAAACCTTTGTCGACCCGCCAAATCCAGAGAACGATATAGCATGGAATAAGCTCTTGCCTGTATGTTGTACACAGATTCCGTATTCATTGGCAATTTTCTGATAAGATAGGACGGACGAGGATATATCTACGTCGAGAACGGCGCCAAATACGGCCTGGAACCAGGTGTCCAAAAGGAGACTGGAGAGATATATGGTGTCTCAATGTTTCATCAAATTCATTGCCTCGCTGTCATTCGTCGAGATTATTATAAGTTGGTAATGGGTCTTCAGACAGATGACCATTCAGTAATAAAAGAGGCAGCAGAGCGACAGCTTGCCTCCGAGCATACAGGTCATTGTTTTGATTATCTGAGGCAAGCGTTCGAATGCTCTGGCGACATGTCTCTCGAATGGCCAAGAACAGAGAAGGATGGAAGCCGATTCCAGACGGATGGGGCAGGTATTCCTCACGTTTGTGTGAGCAAGGTGAGAGCTTCCTTTCCGTTTTTGTTTTTCTTTCAACCCTACAAGCGATTCGAATTAAGCATCACTAACATCATGCGCAGAGCGCAATAATGGACTACATGGAAGTTCATGGTTATCGTGAAGCCCACAACCATGATATTGCAGCCTGATTTTGAGTGATGAGCCAAAGTGATTTGGTAGAAGTTTCCAATGAGTCAAAAGCTAGTTCAAGCTATGGCAGCCCAGAAACGCGAGGTGAAGCATCGATCCTTTTTAGTCAATGCGAGTCTCTTTTCTCTTTTTGGCATTGACCTTAGACCACGAAGTCATACATCCTACCATCAAGCACTGTGTATATGCTTCTCTAGTATTATTTTGGGGGTTTGGATCCACAACTTGGGTCGCAAGAGAATGATTTTCAAATGGTAAAAATCCTGCTCGTTCATTTTCATAGCTCTGGCATGTGATTTCTTTGTCCTCCGCTATTATCCTCGATGGATTCTGTATAAATTAAAAGAAAAGGAAAAAAAAGCGGCAGTTAATTCGAGCCCTGCAACTAAAATCGATAAGCCACAATGGCCAGCGTAGGATCTGTATCAACGTTGTTCAGGAGACAATGTTACAATTGGAGTATTCGCTATTGATTGGCCTGTTGGCGTTAGGAGTGGCTGATTTGGGTGACAGCAGATTGATTTTGAATACGATTAGACTGCATACGACGCTCCATCGTGCGCTCGTAGCCATTGAAGATTGTTAGCGTCATTCTTAAGGACTAATACGGAGTAGTATTCCGTATTATAGATCCGAAAAATCAATAGTCATTTGAACGTCTTTCTTTCCTCGGCAAATGTCAGCATCGTAGGATTTTTCCCTATTTCAGTGACCCTCCGATAAAGAATGCATCTTCGCCGTCATTGATGCATGTATGTCGTGCTCGGGCTTCAAGCAAGCCAAGAGCTAAGAAAAACAAGCATTACCACCCGCGTAAAGTGATTCTTAGTGTTCCAACTCCCGTGTTCTTTAGGATAAGGCACTATTCTTGTATTACAGACAAAAGCTGTGCACAATACTAGCGTCTCGGAATATGCCCCATCAATCAGACTGCGGGCCAACCGCCAACCGGGCGCCAACCGGGGTCTCATCGGAGTCCGAAAATAAATATACAGGTGCATAATCAGAAATAGTCAGATCAATTGTGGAGTATGCAGATGAAAAGAACGGTAGGATCAGCAGAATGCTGCAACATACTCAAAATCGTACTTTTGCATAGCCTTTTGAGCTACTCCATAGTTGGAATGCAATCAACAACGCACGATACCATCGACTGCCACGTATTAATTGCCTCAGTGACATCCGGTCCTATAGGGTAGACTTTTGCAGTACACTATTTTTGGTTTTGTCAATCTAGGACGTTGTATCCGATTGAGGGGGGTAAGCGGAGTGTTGTCCTGGAGTGGACTATGCATCAAGTCTGCATCCACTTGCGAGGTATCCCGGGCTTTTCTGTATTCTACTAAGAATTCAAAATCAATTCCGCAGTATTGTCTCTGAGCCTATCCTGTCCCGGCCCAATCTTGGCCCGCGTTGTTTCTCCTCTTCTACGGCCGTTCCTCATACCAAATTGCATTTAATTGTCCCGGTCAACATTGTTATGACAACATCTATGTCACAATGAGCAACCGACTTCCACCGTACAAGTTTTCTGCAGTAAAGGACTTGGAGCCGTCAAATATGAACGGCTCAGAGCAATATGATCCTCTGCTAGACGACGCAGATGAGAAGTCTGCAGAGCAAGATGAAAGGCGGATTGGCACCCAAGCTCGAAGTCGCTTCATTCGCCTCAGTGGCGGCTTGCTTTTCTTGTCAATTCTCATCTTTATCATGGGAGGCATCAACATCGCTATGGTCTCGTCCGTGGCGAACGGCACTACAAAGACGGGCGACGAAATCCAAGCCGTCCGAATGGCATTGGCCACAAATCATCTACATCAAGCCTCAGATCAATCGACTGGGGATGAGTTCGGCCACTGTGGGAAATCCATCACAGAGGCCCGGGAGCTTGGTTGCATCTTCGATCCAATGTCCTGGGCATGGCAGCGACCAGAATGCTACCACGCTGATTTGGTGAAGGATTTCCTAGAGAGAATTGATTGGCATTTCTACCTCAGCAATGAAACCCTCCCGGAAGAGGAAGTGCCACGCGAGGCATGGGAGCGGGGGGACTATACCATTCTTTATGGCCCGCGGATGTGGCATCAATTTCACTGTACCTATTCCTGGAGGAAGTTCCACGACGCTTTCCGTCACGGAATGCCTATGGATAATGATATCCTCAAGCCTGAACACACGCTTCACTGCGATGGTGTTTTCCTACACGGCTACGACCCGAAAATTTCAGTGCCGTGCGACCACTGGGAGAGCGGATGCCACACAACGGAGCTCCATGCAGGATTCAATCGTTGCGGTTGGTCGTGAGGAGCAGAGATCTGGGCGTGACGGAATGCGGAATACCTACAATGATGTCAAAGTGGTTCAAGGCTGGGGCAAGGTTAGTGGATGAGGGACGGGTGATTCTAGCGGTGGATATACGAGTAAATATTGGCCGTGATAGCATAGAGTCCAAGTGAGGAAGGGCCTCGGGGATCAGTGAGCCCATCCATTTACCTAGGTGGTCGTGACTCGTTAGTATACACCGCTGGATAAACTTGAGCTTTTTTTTTTCGGTCTTTGATTGTTCGACCCTTTACTTTTCATAGTAGCTCCGACAAACGAAAGGGACACCGATTGGTAAAGTGTGTCTAATTGAGTAGAACCTTTCATCACATTCATATGTGAGATCGGTGATGATAAGCGATGGCGCGATAGACGACATAGGGGTTCGTTAGTTCCAAGCCCGGCGGTTACCAGGTACCTAGGTAAATGAACTTACAAATCAATTTCGGATTGGTGTTCATGGTATTTGACCCTCTCGAGAATAAGTACCAATTCTACCCTTACATCTATCCCATCGAATCAGAAGAACGGAAAAGGAGTACACCAAATCATGCCACCAGAGTGCTCACTCCAGGCCGATAACAAATTCGGCCCTGTAGTAGGTAGCGAGTGCCGTGATGGGTTTGATTTTACTCTATTATTCGAACAAGCCATACTTGGTCTCGTTCCTGCGGTCGCATTTCTCCTCGTGTGTCCCTTTCGATTGCGGATTCTGGCCAAGAGAGAAGTGCGCACTCAGCCTCACAAGATGAGATTGGCAAAGTCGGTAAGCACTTTCACATCATTATTCACAGAGTCAAACACGAGGTAATGTCGATTCTGCCTCAGATAACTGCTTTCGTTTTCGCCGCGATTCAACTCGCCCTATTGATCAGCTGGGCAAAGAAAACTCGGCCCACTGCGAAGTTCTCTGTCGCGTCGAGTGCAATCAACTTGGTAGTGGCAATGCAAATTGTGGTCTTGTCGTGGGTGGAAGATGAACGATCTGTTAGACCGTCATCGCTCCTCGCCACCTACCTTCTCTTCACGTTGCTCTTCGATGTTGTACAGACAAGAAGTTTGTGGTTATCTCACAGAGATCACCGTATTTCTATTCTGTTCACCACAAGTGTCGCTGCGAAAACAGCAATGGTGCTTTTGGAGAGTTTGGGGAAGCAAAAACACCTCGTAGGTTCTTATCAAGACCTTCCACCAGAGTCGACTAGTGGGCTTGTTAATCGGTCGTTCATGTGGTGGCTGAATCGCCTTTTTTTCACGGGCTTTCGATCCTTGCTAAGTACCGAAGATCTTGATCGTCTAGACAAACCCCTGGAGTCCGCGGAAACGGCGCGGAAAGCATTAAGAGTTTGGGCTCTACGCCGGCATCCCGAGCGCCGCTTCGAACTCCCATGGCAAATGGGCCGAGCGTTCAAAGGTCCACTTGCTTTGATGGTGCTTCCACGCATTTTCTTGATCGGATTTACCTTCTCACAGCCCTTCTTGATCGCATCTGTTCTCAACTGGCTTGATAACCCACATAGCGCGAGCAATCTCGGTTACGGCCTCATCGGCGCTACACTTCTAATATATTTGGGAATGGCCCTCTCAACCCTCATGTACGACCAGATGTTGTATCGGTTGGTGACAATGTTTCGAGGGGCAGCCTCATCAATGATCTACGACCATGCCTTACACATCCCTGATGGCACTCTAGGGGATCGTTCTGCCACAGTGACTCTAATGACTACTGACGTTGACCGCATAATTGCCAGTCTAATTACTTTGAATGAATTCTGGGCGCGGACGATTGAAGTTGCCATTGGCATTGCGCTACTCGCGCTCCGGTTAGGGTGGGTTTGCCTGATGCCATTAATAATCGTTCTCAGTAAGGAATCCCACTTTCGATTCACATATGGACACTATTTGCTGAAAGTTGATAACAGTTTCTAGTGGCGGAAGTATTTATATCTCGAAGCATATAGGGGGACATCAGAAAGTATGGGTGGATGCCGTACAGCAACGCATATCAATCACCCGCTCATTGCTGGACGGTATCCAGACTATCAAAGCAACTGGATTATCTCGGACCTTTGTTCGGCTTGTACAGAGAAAAAGGACCGAAGAAACCCATCAAATGGCCACGTACCGATGGAGTGTGGTCTGGAAGAATATGATCCAGAATCTGCCCTGGGCCTTGGCTCCAGCTTTGACCTTCGTCGTCTATGCTGCTCAAGGAAAGGAGCTGAATGCTACCAAAGCGTTCAGTAGTCTGTCCATTATAACTCTTTTGACTAACCCGGCTTCGAAACTACTAAGTGCGATTCCTTCCATAGCGGCTTCGTCGGGATCTTTTGATAGAATACAAGACTTTCTTTTACTGGAAACTAGTCCTCAGCACACAGCGGAGGGTCTCTGTCACACGAGAGAAACGGAAGTTGATACATCTCCACACATCGCCGAAATGGAATACATGTCTTTCAAGGGCCCACTAGACACCACCGACCTTCAAACACCTGTCATCTCAATGAAAAATCTCAGCATTCGCCCATCCTCATCAGCAAAGATTGTTTTGAGAGATGTCAACTTAGAAGTCCCTCTCGGAGCACTGGTCATCATCCAAGGGCCAATTGGGTCTGGCAAATCGACGCTGCTTCGGGCCATACTTGGCCAGGCGGTTTGCGAGACAGGATCAAAGACAGTGACCATTCGACAACCGGCCTTTTGCGCTCAAACACCGTGGGTCCCAAGTGGCACCATTCGTGATATAATCTGTGGATCCTTCTCAGCTGCTCCTATAAGGGAGGACGCAATTGATGAGAAGTGGTACGAGGCTGTTCTTCACGCATGTGACCTCAATTCGGACCTGGCTCTCCTTCGCGAGGGCGATGCTACGCAAGTTGGACACGGATCTGGTCATATACTGAGCGGTGGCCAAATGCATCGGATCGCTCTTGCTCGAGCGGTATATGTTCGCAAGAAGCTTTTGCTGTTAGATGATATATTCAGTGCACTGGACCGGAAAACCAAGGGTAATATCATATCACGTCTTTTCGGTGTTGACGGACTGCTTCGAAAGACAAAATCGACTATTGTTTTGGTGACACATGAGAGTAGGCTTCCTCCAAGGTTTGTTTTGTCTTCTATTATGAGCTGACAGCCTATCAGTGGACCAGCTGCCTTGTGCAGATCGGAATTATTTCCTTTCGGATGGGCGTCTTAGTCAGGAAGAACCTTGCGTGGGAAATGCCTATCAAGAAGTGAGGTCTGACGCTGTGGAAGCTAAGGAACCGACAGGATTCCCGGACTTGGCGATAGAAGATAAAGCCGCCTTGATCTCCAAGGCGAATAAGGTTGACGATCTCAGGAGGGCAGCCGGGGACTCTGCTGTTTATGCGTATTATCTGCGTTACGTTGGGTGGACGAACGCGCTGGTATTTGTCTTTTTCGTGACAATGAACGTCTTCTCCAGCACGTATAGTCGTACGTGAACTTTACCTGTGCTACTCCAGATATCACTAACATTGGCTTTCTACTAGAAATTTGGCTTAAGCGATGGGCTGATCGTGGTGGAGGCCAAAAAGCACTCTATGTCTCGGTGTATTTCTTCCTTGCCATTTGCAACACTGTTGGTAATGGTGGTTATGTCTGGTGAAGTGCTCTGTCTAATGATACATATAGGGCTCACTACTAACAAAATCATAGGGCTATTCTTATTCTGATCTCACCATCAACAGCACGTCGGCTTCATTATGTCGTGCTGAAGACTGTCATGATGTACATTCAATCATCTTTTCTCGCACATCATTCAACTGCTGACACTTCAAGGGCAACGCCTCGATTTCTAGTAACTGTTGACATCGGGTCAATACTGAACCGTTTCAGCCAGGATATGACCCTTATAGAAAGCGATTTGCCTGTTGGCATCTTAATCACTGTCTCAAGTAAGACCCCACCCGTTCTACTCACCCTCTGGAGAAATTTTCTAACTTTTGCCGCTTGCTACTTATTGACCTTATTGCTGATGGGTATAGATCTCTTTTCGTCAATTGCCAATGCTGCTCTAATTGCAACCGGATCAACGTACATGGCAATATCCGTGCCTTTCCTGATCATCTCCCTCTTTCTCTTACAGCATTTTTATCTAAAAACATCGCGACAACTTCGCTTGCTTGACCTGGAAAGCAGAAGTCCGCTGTACTCCCATCTTCATGACACTGTCGAGGGTCTTTCTACAATTCAGGCATTTGGCTGGGAAGCAGAATTTCGAATTGCCAATTCAAAATTGCTGGACGCTACCCAGCGCACGTATTATATGCTTCATTGTATTCAGCGCTGGCTCACCTTGGTCCTAGACCTCATCGTTGCTGCCGAAGCAGTCATCGTCGTCAGCTTAGCAGTTTCTCTGCGGCATACAACGAGTGTCGGATTGCTTGGAGTATCGCTCAACAGTATTCTTGGTATGTCTTCCTATGGAAGTTGACTTTCTCTGCTACTGCACCTTAAATATCGTGACCGATATTCATTTGCTCAGCTGACTTTCTATCTCAAAGCTTTCAATGGTAGCCTTTCGTCTCTCATATCGGGTTGGACACAATTGGAGATATCCCTTGGCTCAATTTTGCGCGTCAAAGATTTTGAAATTCAAGTACCACGTGAAATTTCAACTGGGCGGGTAGAGGTTTCCATCGACTGGCCAAGTCGGGGAGCTATTGAGATCTCGGACATGACTGCACAATACTGGTACGTACTCCGCAGCATGTGCAACACTATCACCATCTTTTGTTCGCGTCATTAACAAATAACGAAAAGCCCTGGAGTAGCAGTACTAAGCAATGTCTCTGTGAAAATCTTACCGGGTCAGAAAATCGGTATCTACGGGCGTACTGGGAGGTAGGTATCATCGCCTTCAGAATCACATTCAGCTTTAGGATTACTAGTCAATGCTAACCTTCCACCGCGCAATTATTCAGTGGGAAGAGCTCTCTACTGTCCTCCGTATTAGGCATGCTCACTTTGATACGTGGGTCGATCATTGTCGACGACATTGACCTCATCACTGTCTCCCCTGATATGGTCCGCGAAAGGCTTGTCACAATTTCCCAAAAGCCACTCATCATGGTTGGTTGCACAGTCAGATTCAATCTAGATCCCACCGGGGCACTTCCAGACGAAGACATCATCGCAGCTCTAGACCGAGTTGGGATCTGGAATGGCGTATTACTTGAAAGAGGTGGGCTAGATTCCGAGATAAAAGACAATCTATCGCTGTCCCGAGGCGAGCAACAGCTGCTTCAGTTTGCTCGTGCAATATTAAAGATACAAGCAAGCAATGCTAGGATCTTGTTGATTGATGAGGGCACCAGCAGCGTTGACACGAAAACTGACGCCCGTGTGCAATTCCTTCTGCAACAGGATCCATTTCGTGCATGTACGGTGCTTACGGTTGCACATCGTGTCCACACTCTCTTAAGTTACGATTTGATTATCGGTCTAGATCGGGGCAAGGTGGTAGAGATGGACAAGCCTATAGTTCTGAGAAATCAGAAAGACAGTATCTTTGGCAACCTTATCAATAGCGGCGGATGATAGTTCAAACTTGACGGAATGGAGATTTAGGGAGCAAGGCCAAACTTCTTGAATGGCGATCGGAATCCTGTTTACTACGAAAAATGCATATATTCAAAAGACATGAAACTTGAACGGGATCTCAGATAATATGAACTACTCACCTGGGCACTATTGTGACTTTCTACACTTTGTTTAGTTACTCGATTATTTCCAAGGTTACTGTATTAATCTCAACTTTTCTTAACAAATACTTTTCTTAACTGCTTTAATCACTCCCTATATATTAATTCTTCTAAACTCTTTTGTATAGTTCATGGGTTATTATTCTCTATGCTCCAAGTAATGAAGGGATTGGGTTTGTTTGGGCTTTGGGCTTGGGCTTTGGTGACAAGAGATGATAGCGGTAAACTATTGACCCCCACATCGACGTCATGAATACTGCCGGACCATACCGCCTTTTCGTCTTTCAGTAAAGTTTACCTACCAGACCGTCTGTTAGAAACTTGGCTGAAATCACTTCGAAACTCTCCGTTCAACCTACCCGCAAGGTGAATTTTCTCCGTTTAGCTTGTTCTTCTCAGGTTAAAGTCCAATTCTTTCCGGGTGCCGCCAGGAGTTGAAATTGATACACAGATCGGTGTGGGGTTCGGCTACTGCCGAGTCAAACATCGACATAATTTCACTCGCCGGTTGACTCTCCGACACATTCCTGAGCACCATGGCGGACTCACTTAATTCCCAAATGCACAAGTTGGACTTGGAAGGCAAACAGTTTGACCCCGCAGCCTTCGATGCTCGCCTCGCAGACGAAGAGAATGGCAAGATCGAGAACTTCCAAACTCGGAAGCAAGCTCCTCAGAGTGCCCAAGAGTTGCTGACAGAGCTTGAAAATGAGTTCCTGACCCCATCAGACCAATTTAGCACAAAATGGTTGAATTCTCTCCAGAAGTAAGTTCCAGTATATGGTTTCATTTGCGGGGCAGCTTCTAACAGCTTTCGCAGACGATGGGACGTTTCGACAGATTATGCAGACCTTTTCGAACTCGCTCCAACCCAGACACGGACGGTGACTCGTTTTACACGAGAGGGTTTGGAAGGACGAGTTACTGGATACCAGGAAGTCACCGTTCCTGCTGCAAGCGCAACAGCTAAGAATTCCACATCGCTTCTCCGCAGACCTGCTGGCCGCGCCGACTTTGTCAGAGGTGCTGCAGGTTTCTTCCCTTTCGCACCCGGGGGCTTAGACGCCATTGAGGCCTTGGCAGCAATGGAGGCCGATGCCCAGGTTGCAGAGCAATCGAGCAACGGGGCGAAATCTGGGCTCGATCGGATAATCAATTTTGGCACCGAGGGAGGTCTTCTGACAACACCCCCTGGCTTTGAGAACGGTGTCAATTTTGATGAAGCACAATCTCAAGATGCCACAGAGGGTGCGCAAGAAGTCGAGACTGCCCTTCTTCAGGAGGAAAGCGATCTGAAGGTGGACCGACCCGAGGAAACTGCGGATGTCGACACAGGAACAAATCCCGAGCTTGACGATGTCAGTGATGATGAAGATGAAGAAGACATTGACGCCTTGCTACCAGTTGAGTTCCCGGCATTGGAACCGCGTAGCCAGTTACTCGCCGGTGTTCACAAGCAAAGAGGTAGAGAATGGGCCCACGTTGTAGATGTCAACAAGGATATCCCGAACTTCAATGAGTTGGTTCCAGATATGGCAAGAGAGTGGCCATTCGAGCTCGACACTTTCCAGAAGGAGGCTGTTTACCACCTTGAGAATGGCGATTCAGTGTTTGTTGCGGCCCATACCTCGGCAGGAAAGACAGTTGTAGCTGAATATGCAATTGCCTTGGCTGCTAAACACATGACCAAAGCAATCTACACGTCTCCCATCAAAGCGCTGAGCAACCAGAAATACCGTGATTTCAGAACCGAATTCGACGATGTCGGTATTCTGACCGGTGATGTCCAAATCAACCCGGAAGCCAGCTGTCTCATCATGACCACTGAGATCTTGCGAAGTATGCTGTACCGAGGCGCTGATCTCATCCGGGATGTTGAATTTGTTATCTTCGACGAGGTGCATTATGTGAATGATCTCGAACGAGGAGTGGTATGGGAAGAAGTCATCATTATGCTTCCAGAGCATGTCACATTGATTCTTCTCTCCGCCACTGTGCCTAATACCCGAGAATTTGCATCCTGGGTGGGCCGTACAAAGAAGAAGGACATTTATGTCATTTCAACTCATAAGCGCCCTGTCCCGCTGGAGCACTATCTCTGGGCCGGGAAGAGCAAGCACAAGATCGTTGACTCTAATAAAAGATTCCTTGAGAGCGGCTGGAAGGAAGCGGATGATATCCTGTCTGGCAAAGATAAGGCCAAAGCCAAGAAGGAGGCTGAAGCTCAGGCGCAGTCGGCGCAAGCTAGAGCCTTGGCCCCTCAGGGTCGGGGACGCGGTCAGCCAGCGAATAACAGAGGTGGTCGCGGTGGTCCCCAGCGCGGAGGTCCACAGCGTGGAGGTCCACAACGAGGTCGGGGGCAGAGCGGCGGACAGTACGCAAACCGAGGAACAGGTAACATTGCTCGCACAGGCCGAGGTGGTGGCCGTACAAGCGCGGCCCAAGACAAGAACACCTGGGTGCATCTTGTTTCGCATCTTCGCCAAGAGGACTTGTTGCCAGGATGTGTCTTCGTTTTCTCTAAGAAGCGATGCGAGGAGAACGCGGATTCGCTGTCAAATCAAGATTTCAGCAATGCCAGCGAGAAGAGCTTGACGCACATGTTCATTGAGAAGTCACTTACCCGATTGAAGCCCGAAGATCGCACGCTGCCGCAAATTCTTCGCCTTCGCGAGCTACTAAGCAGAGGTATCGCTGTACACCATGGTGGTCTCCTGCCTATCATGAAGGAAGTTGTGGAGATTCTCTTCGCTAGATCTTTGGTCAAGGTTCTGTTTGCCACAGAAACATTCGCGATGGGTCTGAATCTTCCTACCCGAACTGTGGTATTTTCCGGGTTCCGTAAGCATGATGGCAAAAGCTTCCGTGATCTCCTGCCCGGCGAATATACGCAAATGGCCGGGCGTGCTGGTCGTAGAGGTCTTGACACGGTGGGGTACGTTATCGTGACGAACAGCGGAAAAGATGAGGCCCCATCTGCTGCCTCGCTGAAACAGATGATTCTCGGAGACCCCACAAAGCTTAGGTCCCAATTCCGTCTCACGTACAACATGATACTGAATCTGTTGCGTGTGGAAGCCCTGAAGATCGAGGAAATGATCAAGCGAAGTTTCAGTGAAAATGCAACACAGGCTCTCTTACCAGAACACGAGAAGCAAGTACAGGTATCTGAGGCAAGTCTTGCGAAAATTAAAAGGGCGCCATGTGAGATATGTGACCTGGATTTGATGACCTGTCATGACGCCGCTATGGAGTATCGAAGACTCACGGCGCAGTTCCACACCGAACTATTATCATCGCCTGTCGGCAAACGTCTTTTCACGATGAAGAGGCTGGTTGTGTACCGCAAGGTGAGTTCACGTGCCTCGTAATGATATTATGTGTTTGGTAAAATGCTAATGCGTGAATAGGATGGACTCCGTACTGCTGGTGTGATCACTCGCGATGGAGTTTCTGCGGGAGTTGTCGGGGCCGTACCCTGTATCCAAGTGCTTGAGATTGGCACCTTGAGTAGCAAACGACATCCCACCGACATTCTCCCATTCTTGCCTCTGTTCCGACCCTACTTCCAATCGCTGCCCACTCGCGTCGATGACATGAGCCTCCGCGTATGCAAGATCCCATTATCCGATCTCGAGTGCGTGACAAACACCCAAGTTAAGATCACAAAACCAATGTGGTATCTGAACATTAAGAAAGGTAAGAGATATTTGCTTCTTTTTGCTCATATAGTTATCAAAAAATACTAATTCAGGAACAGAGTCCGTTAAGTGGGCAGAAACAGAACTGTGCCAATTCACAAATTCCTGGATCGATCCTGCTTGGGACGAAATCGACTGGCAGCGTATCAAAGAGATGGATATCCGCGATATCCTCGACAAACGACAGGCTCAAGCAGAGATTGCTCAGTCATGCCACTGTTTACAATGCCCTGATTTCGTGAACCACGTAAGCATTATATTACTATTTATTTGAATCCCGTACTAATGCCTCATAGTTTGAGATGCAACACGACGAGTGGCAGGTTAAAGAAAATATCTCAGAGCTGAAACAACTGATGTCCGACCAAAACCTTCAACTACTTCCGGACTATGAGCAGCGCATTCACGTGCTCAGGGAGCTCGGTTTTGTTGACGAACACTCTCGTGTACAACTGAAAGGCAAGGTGGCATGCGAGATTCACTCCGCCGACGAGCTGGTGCTGACCGAATTGGTCCTCGAAAACGTGCTTGCTGAATATGAACCGGAGGAGATTGTTGCACTTCTTTCTGCATTCGTCTTCCAGGAGAAGACAGAAAGCACACCTACGCTCACTCCTCGCCTGGACAAGGGTCAGAAGGAGATCATTCGAATCGCTGAGAAAGTGAATGATTTCCAAATCTTGCACCAAGTCATTCAGTCTAGTGAAGATTCCAATGACTTCGCCAGCAAACCACGCTTTGGTCTCGCCGAAGTTGTCTATGAGTGGGCCAAGGGAATGTCTTTCAATCGCATTACGGATCTCACGGACGTGATGGAGGGCACTATTGTTCGGGTGATCACCCGACTGGACGAGACTTGTCGCGAAGTGAAGAATGCGGCTAAACTGGTCGGCGACCCAACTCTTTACACTAAGATGGAGCAAGCTCAGGAGTTGATCAAGCGCGATGTCATCTTCGCGGCCTCCCTTTACATGTGAAGATACTCAATCCTTAGGGGGGGTATATGGTTGAATGCCTGGGCCCCCATTGGGTAGTCATGAACCTCTCCACTAGATGGGGGATTCACCACAATGTATGTAAATCAAGACGAAGAAATGAACAAGAAACTATCAAATTCCATTGAGATCAATCATAC